TCACAAACCGTGAGATCATGACCTGAGCTGAAGTCGGTCGCTCAACCAATTGAGCCACCCAGGCATCCCTCCAAGAGGTAGTATAAATTAAAATTTGTTACCATATCCTTTTACGATACTTCGTGTTGATTGAAGTGTTATCATATCAACTGTGTCATTTAACATACACAGAAGCCAAGCAAAGACACGGAACAAGCACTGTGGTTTCCATTTTAGAGATCGAGTGCAATAATGTAAAATGTAAGAGTTTCTCAGACAGACAATCTGGGTTCAAATCCTAGGTATAATAGTTCAACTTTTAAGAACCTTAATTTCCTATCAGTAAAATTCAGACAGTGCACACACCTCAGAGTTTCTGAGAATGAGTCAAGTATACAAGTCACCTATATACAATACTCAATGTTTGTTTCCATAGGAAGTGGGGCTACATGTTCCATACACCTAATGTGACTAATAAAGTCCAAAGTAAATAAAGTCCAATTCCCACCTCCATCCTCAGAGATTCAAGAAGGACATAATTTAGTACCTCTTTAAAAGATGTTAAAAAACAAACAAAAATAAATAAATAAAAGATGTCCAAAAGTTAGTCTCTGACATAGTCTTCAAAGTTTTTTGTTCAAGTAAATTTGTGAAATGCCACTCTCTTGAAGACTTATAAAACGTGTGTGTGTGTGTGTGTGTGTGTGTGTGTGTGTGTGTGTACTTATGATAGAAAAGCTCAGAGAAGCTGTGCAATGAAGAAACCTAGTTGAATATGTATAGCCTAACATTTCCCAAAAGTGCATTTAATAACGGAATCCTTTTTGCATAGTTACTATAAATATCCACACAGACTTAATGCTCTTCTTAACATACTTTTATACTTGGGGCACCTGGGTGGCTCAGTCAGTTAAGCGTCTGACTTCAATTCAGGTCATGATCTTGCGGTTTGTGAGTTCGAGCCCCGTGTCAGGCTCTGTGCTGACAGCTCAGAGCCCGGAGCCTGCTTCAGATTCTGTGTCTCTCCATCTCTCAGCCCCTCTCCTGCCCATGTTCTGTGTCTCTCCATCTCTCAATAATAAATGTTAAAAAAAATTTTTTTTAAATAAAAAAAACACAACATACTTTTATACTTGATCTTAGCCAAAAGGCAGAGAAGTGATGAACATACTTTTAGAAACACCAGTTTTGATAAAGTAATGTGTAACAAATTAATAACAGGTTATTAGACTACAATAGATCGATAATCATTATGAAAAAATAATAATAGATTATAGGACAAAGCACAAGAAACTATCCTTTGAATAAAATCCCCAAATCATTTTTGTAGCCTGCCTTGACTTTACCTATAGATCAGTGTCAAACTTAAAAAAAAGAAAAATCTATTTAGGCCATGAAGGCATTTTAACTCTCAGGAAGATGTCAGAATAAGTCTACCATAAACAAAGATTTCAAGAAGTGGCTCATAATGTCATCTGGCAGAAGACAGGATTGGGAAGAGGTGGGAGAGGCACCTATATTTTGTTATAAAACTGATTTGCATGGGGCTACCTGGTGGCTCAGTAGGTTAAGCATCTGACTCCTGGTTTCAGCTCAGGCCACGAACTCATAGTTTGTGGGTTCAAGTCCCACATTGGGCTCTGTACTGGCAGCACAGAACCTGATTGGGAGTCTCTCTCTCTCCCTCACTCTCTGCCTATTCCTTGCTCTTGCTCTCTCTCTCAAAATAAGCATTAAAAAAACTGATTTGCATGAAGTATCCTATTCCCTAACCAACTTTCCAAGAATGGGATGTATATATCTTATGCCACATCACTACCTCTCCTGTGATTACCCTTGGTGGAGATAATAAGCTGTGAACTACAAACCACAAATATGAGGAATCATTTTTTCTCTGAAAACTCTAAGAAAGCAATGGTTCTGTCACAATCAGTAGGAAAAAGAAAGTCAACTCCATTAACAGCATTTGGTCAATCCTGAACATTTCTGCAGAGGCCTCTGACATGATTAAAAACTGAGAAAAAATGTCAAATTAGATTTCTTAGGAACATGTGCTAAGATGGTATTGTGATTCTTCTAAACAATTTGCAAGTGGTTCTATATTGAAGTCCTAAAATGTTTATTTGATTGACATCAAGAAAATCATTCTTCACAGGTAATTTTCAAAATAAAACTAACTTGGGTGCCTGGGTGGCTCAGTCAGTTGAGTGGGACTCCTGTTTGGCTCAGGTCATGCACGATCTCAAGGTTGTGAGATGAAGTCCCATTTCCAGCTCTGTGCTGAACGTGGAGCACACTGAGGATTCCCTCTCCCTCTGCTCCTCTTTCTCTCTCAAAATAAATCAACATTTTTTAAAAACAATTTTAATGTTTATTTGAGAGAGTATGAGCAAGGAAGAAGCAGACAGAGACACAAAATTCGAAGCAGGTTCCAGGCTCTGAGCTGTCAGCGCAGAGCCTGACGCAGGGCTCAAAGTCAGTTGCTTAACGGACTGAGCCACCCAGGTGCCCCAATAAGCATTTTAAAATAAAATAGGGGCGCCTCGGTGGCGCAGTCGGTTAAGCGTCCGACTTCAGCCAGGTCACGATCTCGCGGTCCGTGAGTTGAAGCCCTGCGTTGGGCTCTGGGCTGATGGCTCCGAGCCTGGAGCCTGTTTCCGATTCTGTGTCTCCCTCTCTCTCTGCCCCTCCCCCGTTCATGCTCTGTCTCTCTCTGTCCCAAAAATAAATTTAAAAAACGTTGGAAAAAAAAAAATTTAAATAAATAAATAAATAAATAAATAAAACTAACAAAAAATTTTAAAGCTCACGGGGTGCCTGGGTGGCTTAGTTGGTGAAGCGGACAACTTCAGCTCAGGTCATGATCTCTCGGTTTGTGGGTTCAAGTCCCGCCTAGGACTCTGAGCTGACACCTTGGAGCCTGGAGCCTGCTTCAGATTCTCTCTCTGTCCCTCCCCTGCTTGTGCTCTCTTTCTCTCTCTCTCTCTCAAAAATAAAAAAATAAAATAAAATAAAATAAATTTTTAACTCAGGGTGCCTGGGTAGCTCAGTCAGTTAAGTCACCGACTGGATTTCAGCTCATGATCTCTGTGCTGACAGCACTGAGCCTGCTGGGATTCTCTCCCTCTTTCTCTCTGCGCCTTCCCTACTCTTTCTGTCTCTCAAAATAAACAAATAAACGTAAAAATATTTAAAACTCAGACCGCTTTGTTTGTTGAAAGATGGGTTTTTCCTACGTTGTAAGTAACCTATTACTGTATGTAAACGCTTCTAGTTAATGCTTTTATCTTAAACCTCTAGAAATCAAATAAAGGGTAGACTAGACCAAGGAATTCTTTTACAAATTACACTAATGCTTGCTACTTACTCTGATAGAACGTATGTATTTTTTAAAACTCTGCTAAAAGCAGAACTATATGCTTATGAATTACGTGTAGGCAAGTGTTTGGTTAATAATGACACCCTAGAAGAAAGGCTCTGTGTAAGAGCTTCAAGTTTCCATGGTGTTCAGAGGAAAATGAACGGAATCTAGACATGTTTGATCTATAGCTTAATAAATCAGCGCTACATTCCACCTTGCCCAATCCAATAACACGAAGCATGCAGTTGACCACTAATGTTGCAAGAGTGGGAAGGGGCGAAGAATAACCACCATGGTCCAAGATACCAGGGTTACCTGAAAAGTTATCTTGACACTTCACTCTACGTTTTGCGCGACTAGACGTCTCCAGGACCACTCCATCGCAGCCACCGCCTAGCCAGGCCCAACCTAGAGCCAAGCAGGCGCTCACCTGCGGGGCGACAGGGCGCACACCTGGCCGGCGGGAGGCGCCCACCTCGCCTCTCCCAGTCCGAGCGCATCTGCCCTCCTCCACCCTTTTTCGCCACCATCTCCACCCATTCCCCACCCATCAATCAGCATCTAACCAAGGACAGGGAATGGCGAGGATGATGAACAGGGTGCGGTGACGAAAAGATCCCCGCAACCTGCCGCAGCCTTTCTACTTCCTCCCATCTCAGAGCGGCGCAAAGCCACACCACCTTTCCTACGCTTCGCGTCTGTAGTACAAGGCCTGCAATACCTAAAAAAAATGTTTTTAATGCTTTTAAGCACAAGTCACTTCCCCGCTCCCTTCCGCCCCTCACCTTCACGAAAGCAATCGGGGTTGTGGTACCTTCGATATCTAACAGGATCACAGTGACTTCGGCGGGCACGCAAAGCACGACCATTTCCCTACCGGATGCAACTACCAGAATCGGCCTACTGGTAGGTAGGGCAGAGGGCGGCGCCGGCTGCGCCCTCAGCACCGTTCTGGGCTTCCGACAGCCCCGCAAGAATCGCCCACCCGGCAACTGCGTGCGGCCCGAAGCTTAAGGTACAGGACCACTTCCACGCCCCTAAAGGTGGATCACACGGCCGTACAGGGGCCCAGAAGTACAGAGCTGCCAAGGGCCAGAGGACGAGACCACGTGGGCAGGGAAAGGGGGCGGTCCTCGCAGGGTTCCGAAGGGGTGGGGGGAGGTAAATGCGTCGATGCCGATTGGCCGCCAGAGGGCCTCGAACCCGATCCGTCAAAATGGGCCTCGCGTGGGCGGGAACAAAGAAGCGAACGCGGGAGCCGGGTCCGCGGGCGCGCGCGCGCTCTCCGCAGACTGGTTGAGCGAGCGGGAGAGGCCCGGGGCACGTGCAGACGGGAGCCCCGCGAGTGGCGCGCCGGGGATGTGAGTGCCCCTTGCCCTCTACGGCACCTAGCCCCCTCCCCGCCCACTGCCTCCGCTTTTGCATATTTACAGTAACCTGACCGGGCTCGCGCCCCTCCTCCCGTCCTCAGCCAGCAAAAGAGGCCGTACCGGGACTGGTTTGCCTGACTACGTCGGCCCGGGCTCCCGCCGATCGGTTAGGGAGGCCCGCCGCGCTACCTCGGCCCGCGCGCCTGTAGCGGTAGCGGAAGAGGCGCCCGCGCCGCGCCGCTGTCCGGAGGGGCCACCGCGCGCCCGCTTCCTGTTCGGCTGGTTCCAGCCAGCTCGAGGACAAAACACGCGTGCGCGCGGCGGAGCGCGCTCGCTGTCTCAGCCGCCGGCGCCGGGCGCAGTCCGCCTTTTTCTGGAGCGACCCGGCCACGGTGCTAATCGATAGCAGCAGCCGCCACCGCAGCAGTCCGCACTGGGGGACCGAGGGCTTTGGAAAAAGGCGGGGTTGATGGCTCTGTACTAGGAGTGGGCTGGACCGGACGCCAGAGACAAAGGCTCTCAAGACAAGAGGGACTGTGGCCCTGCGACGGCACTGCTCGGGATTTTTGACCCCAGGACTTTTCGCCCCTTCGTTTTTCTCTTCTGACGCTTCTCTCATCTTAAGCCCGCGTCCCCTCACCCGCGACCTCGCTCCTCACCGGGAGGGCCGCGATGGAGGTCCCGCCCCGGCTCTCCCATGTGCCGCCGCCATTGTTCCCCTCTGCTCCCGCTACTTTAGCCTCCCGCAGCCTTTCCCATTGGCGGCCGCGGGCGCCTCGGCAGCTCGCCCCGCTCCTCCCTTCGCTCGCTCCCAGCTCCGCCCGGCAGGGGGCGCGCCGGGCCCAGCGCCACGTCACCGCCCAGCAGCCCTCCCGATTGGCGGGAGGGGCGGCTATAAAGGGAGGGCGCAGGCGGCGCCCGGATCTCTTCCGCCGCCATTTTAAATCCAGCTCCATACAACGCTCCGCCGCCGCTGCTGCCGCGACCCGGACTGCGCGCCAGCATCCCCCGGCCGACAGCTCCGCTACCATGGAGGACATGAACGAGTACAGCAACATAGAGGAATTCGCAGAGGGATCCAAGATCAACGCGAGCAAGAATCAGCAGGATGACGGGTACCGCACGCTTCTCTCTTCCCCCTCCCCCAGCGCGCCGCACGCGCCCTTCATCCTTCGGGAGCCGCGCGCTATCCCGGTTCTTGCCCCAAGTCGATTCCTCGCGTGCCCGCCGGGCCCCACTAGCTTAGAGGAAAGAGGAAAGTAGGAAACGGAGGGGTGACTCCAGCGGAGGGTGGGGGAAGGGCGGAGGAGTTGGAGGAGGAGGGCGGCGGCGGCGTCTGTGCCCCGAGTGCGCAGGCGCCGCGTGGGGCCCGAGGGGGAGGGGCCGGCCTCGCTGCGCCACATGCTGCAGCTGCTGCCGCCTTTTCATTGTGTCTGTGCTAGGGCCCCGCGCAGTTTTCCTGGGCGGTGTTACGGAATTACTCGTTTGGAATCGGTGTGTGAGTGGTACTTGGATCCCCAGGACGTGTTAAGAGTTCTTTAGGTGGCGTGTTGGCCTGACAGCTGTGAAAGAGGATGAACCTAAGTTGTGAGGGATCAGCTTAGGAAGTTGGGGTTTTTAAATCTTAAAGCAATCGAACATACTTTGCTGATCTTGTTTAAACTTCGTATCATGAAGCATGGCGAGCACGCTGTCCACTGTTTCGAATAAGCGACCTCGATGGAATTGGGGAGAGGGTTTGTGTTTTTTGTTTTAATACTTGATCTGTAGACCCGGATTGAATTCCTTGCATATACAGTTAAACTTCCCCGTGCTTGGTTCGTAGTTAACATAACTCCAGAACTGAAGTAATCGTGTGAGGCGCTGCTAATCTTTTTTAAAAAAATAACTTTATTTCTAGTAAAATGTTTATTGGAGGCTTGAGCTGGGATACAAGCAAGAAAGATCTGACTGAATATTTGTCTCGATTTGGGGAAGTTGTAGACTGTACAATAAAAACAGATCCAGTGACTGGAAGATCAAGAGGATTTGGATTTGTGCTTTTCAAAGATGCTGCTAGTGTTGATAAGGTAGGAGCAGGTTTTGCATTGTAGTCCTTCTGTGTACTTTTCAAATTGTCTGGGGATTTTCCTTGCATAGCGTTGTCAGATTAAATTTGTCTTGTAGGTTTTGGAACTGAAAGAACACAAACTGGATGGCAAATTGATAGACCCCAAAAGGGCCAAAGCTTTAAAAGGGAAAGAACCTCCCAAAAAGGTTTTTGTGGGTGGATTGAGCCCAGATACTTCTGAAGAACAAATTAAAGAATATTTTGGAGCCTTCGGAGAGGTGCGCTTTATGACTACTTTTGTGTATGTTTATGTAATCCCGGCTTTTTACAGAAAAGAACATTATCCGATGTGGAAGAGATTAAACTAACTACTCAGGTCCTTTTTAGTCACTACCTTAATCACTGTTTACTGTGCTATGATGGAAACCGATACTGAATTTGTTTTGGCCAAATCACAGGTGCTTTGGTGTGGTCAGTGTTTGGACTTCTACCAATGGCATCTGTTGGGTACAAAATAATAAATGAAGTTTTGCTCTCCTTTCTAAATGCTTCACAGACGAATCTTTGCAGTTTGAGTTGACAGTAAAGTAGGAGCTTTTATACAGATGTAATGTGACTAGAGTAACATGCAATATGTGTTTGAAACTTGGAAAGGACCTGGGGTGTTCTAAAAACTTTTGGTAGCTTTTATCATTACTGGATGATCGTGAGTGTGCTTCTTGATTTCAGATTGAAAATATTGAACTTCCCATGGATACAAAAACAAATGAAAGAAGAGGATTTTGCTTTATTACATATACAGATGAAGAGCCAGTAAAGAAATTGTTAGAAAGCAGATATCATCAAATTGGTTCTGGGAAGGTAAAGCCATCTTGATTCTATTAAGTGAAAATGTTGAGAGTGGTTTTTGTTTCTTTTAGTGAATTTCTCAATTTGTTTTGAGAAGAATAAAAGGGCTTGACATAGTAAAAATTCTGTTTGTTTTTTTAATGTGTTTATAGTGTGAAATCAAAGTTGCACAACCCAAAGAGGTCTATAGGCAGCAACAGCAACAACAAAAAGGAGGAAGAGGTGCTGCAGCTGGTGGACGAGGTGGTACTAGGGGTCGTGGACGAGGTGAGACTTAATTCTTTGAAGATGGCTCAGTGGTTTAGGCTGCAAATTGCTAAATAGGAATAAGCCCATAAGAAACTAAAGCTAGTTTTAAACTGTTTGAATATGAAAAATTCTCAGGTTAGTGGGTGGGTTTTTGTTAGTTTACTGGTTTCACCTCTTCAAAGAATGGCCAGCCTGACAGGGCCATTACGAATGGAGAAATAATACCACTTAATGTGGTTAAGATTACATGGTACCTCATGGCATGATAGGGTTTTTTTTGGGCAGGAGTCCTTGTTTTAAAGCTTAAACAATCTACCTGTTTTCACCTTCTCCTGATTTTCCTTCCTGTTAAAGTTTATTTATTTTGAAGGACAGTGCGCCCCTGTGCGCATGGCCGAGGGGCAGAAAGAGATAATCAAAGGCAGGCTCTGCTTGAACTCAACAAACCTTGAGATCATGACCTGAGCTGAAATCAAGTCTGTTGCTTAACCAACTGAGCCACCCAGGTGCCCCTGTCCTGATTTTCCATTACATGTAGGAAGCTTGATAACTGGCACAATTGGACTTTCTGCCCCCTTTTATGATAATTAAAATAATAATTTTGTCCAGTCAGATAGCAATATAGATGTACATTCTGCTTGTTTAAGATTTGTGGAGTGAGAGACAGGAACACAACATTTTATGTTAGGATTGGGGGTCAGAAGTTGTCTCCTAACAATCATTGTGCATTGTTTCAGGTCAGGGCCAAAACTGGAACCAAGGATTTAATAACTATTATGATCAAGGATATGGAAATTACAATAGTGCCTATGGTGGTGATCAAAACTATAGTGGCTATGGCGGCTATGATTATACTGGGTATAACTATGGGAACTATGGATATGGACAGGGATATGCAGACTACAGTGGTAAGAATATTTAACTTAATTTCATAAACCAATGGTATTAAAATTCAGTGTTAAAAGTGCAATCCCATTCTGCAATTGTGTGTGGGTTTTCCGTTTTTTGAAGTGTTTGGGAGTTTTTGAAGCATTTGATAGTCATAGGATGGTTACCGACAAAGACTTTGGTTAGAAATGTTCTGGAGTATGTGATACATGACTAGTTTATAATAGCTATTTAAAATACATGGTTTGATGTTTTGGCATGCAGAGTATTACACATTTAATAATTTTCTATTAATATTTATGATGAAACTTTTATAGAAAGCATTCTTAATGTAATTTTTTTGTGTTTTCAAAATAGGCCAACAGAGCACTTACGGCAAGGCGTCTCGAGGGGGTGGCAATCACCAAAACAATTACCAGCCATACTAAAGGAGGACGTTGGAGAAAACAGGTGTGTATAAGAGTACAAGAAACCAGTGGAAATGTCTAATTTAATTTAAAGATCAATAGACAAATGAAAAATAAGTAAAAACAAAATATTATGTAGTCTGTTTTTACTAAATTGTTAATTTTTTAATTGCTTTATGAGCCTGTTTTGCCTAAAGTGTCTATAGATCTTTAACTTTAAAGTCTTATCTCACCTTCTTTAGTATTACAGAAAAACTTAAGAGTTTTTCTGTTTGCTTTGTGTACCAGGTGGTCTAGAGGAATAATTAAACATTTTTAGAACTATTAACAGGTAAAGTACTGAAATGGGTACAACTTAAGGAAAACAAGAATGTTGTCTTCTAACTCTGACATTATACCTTGTTTGTACCCGCCAGCGGGAACTTCATTGCAGGCCGTGTGTCACCCTGACCACGTCTATCTCTGGGGGTCGCACGTTGCGGGCAGAGCGCAAGGCATACACCAGAAAACGCTGTCCTGTGGTATGGTCTCTTCCAACTTCATGTACCAGCGTAAAGATTAAAGTGGAAAACTTCAGACTTTGGCTTCTTTTTTAATCTTTTTGAAGATTAAGTGTCTAAACTTAACTTAAATGGTTTTTTACAGGAGTTAAAGTACATAAATGCCTTTTTACAGCTTAATCATTTTGGTCTTCTGTTTAGTGTTGTATTTCAATTGTGGAGCCTCATTTTAAGTGTTCATTCTTTAAGATTTAATGCTTGCTTTTTCTTTTTATAGCTAATAGTGAAATCTACAAACCAAAACAAGAACTTTAAAATCTGGGATATAAATTAAAGATCATATGCACACAGCAATTCGTGTTCTTATAATATAATAAGCCTATTAGGAATTCATTTTTGTAAGAGCATTTTTTGGCTTACTAGAGATGCTTCTAGTAGACCTAAATCTAGTATACTTCAGTCTGAATATGGGAACATTGCATTCCCTGATTCCTTACTAAATTTAAATTCACTATCATTTGGGAACTGCAGGGTGAATATTAATTACCCAATCTACATTTTGCAATTGAATATGCATGTGATCTTTAATTATTGAAGAAAAGAATAAATTGAGGACTTAAAACAATTCATGAAAGTGGACCTTTGAAAGCTTTCAGAGTTACACAAATCTAATTGCTATTTTGTTTTTGTTTTTAGGAGGAGATTGCTAAAGTTAACCCATCTTGCAGGACGACATTGAAGATTGGTCTTCTGTTGATCTAAGATGATTATTTTGTAAAAGACTTTCTAGTGTACAAGATACAACTGTGTCCAACTGTATATAGCCGCCAATTAGTTTTCTTTGTTTTTACTTTGTCTTTTGCTATCTGTGTTATGACTCAATGTGGATTTGTGTTTATACAAATTTTATTTGTATGATTTCATGTTAAACCTCAAATAAATGCTTCCTTATGTGATTGTTTTTCTGCGTCAGGTACTAAATAGCTCTGTAAAAGTGTAATTTAAAATAAGCAATAATTAAGGCACAGTTTATTTTGTAGGGAATATTGGTCCATAGGGAGAAACTGTGGTCCTTTTACGAATAGCCAGCTACAGTGTGCCCCTGTTCCCCCTTTTTGTTAGATGTAGTCTATGCTCTAAGGCTTCATTTCCCTGCTGAGGTTTCCACCACACCTGTAACGTTTCTCTGTGTATTTGGAGACCTTGTCATAGTGTTGTCATTAGTGGAAGCTTTCTAGCAGACCATCAGTCTTCTGGATTATATTTTGAAGAACTGTACCTTTTTAGCACAAAGCATGTTGGTAGTTCCTTTTTGTAAATAGAAGTGATTGTGCTTTGTTCCTGTCTCTGGAAAGCCATTGATTAGGGTAAGCTCATTCAGAATCTGGTCTGTTAGAGCTTTGGCTAATTGTAATACCATGACTTTACTTGTTTTCTTGATTAAAACATCCAGATATACCCAGGGAAAAGGCACTGTTAAACAGTGTGTTGGAGCTACAGTTTGAGTATCCGAAATCGTTACAAGGATTTTGGCAGATAGGTATGAGGTGGTTAAAATTTGAGCAAAAGTTAGATGCAGATATTTGAAGTAGTGACTTGAGGAAGTCAGTTGTATTCTATTGGTATTGTCACAGCAAGCACCAAACTGAACAAAATGTTTTCTTTTAGGAAGCTATATTGGGTGTTAACTGTTAATGTGGTGTGAGTTTTTAGAAAAAGTCATGCTAGTAGATTCCATCATTTTTAATGCATTAGTGCATGAGCTGCATAGTTAAGCATTCCATATTCAGACATAGGAGTAGTGAGGAAAAGTATAATTTAAATTTTATGTATGTCAATGCAAATCTAAGGTGACTGAGTCATTACAACAGATTTTCCTGGTGAATCAAGCAGTTTTAGCTCTAGGTTTTGGAGAAATTCCTGGGTAAATCTAAGCTTCAAATTTTACATTCAGTGTAGTTGGATTTAAGGTTTTTTTTAAGTTTTGTTTCTGTGGTTCTACATTAGCCTTTAGGATTGGCATACGTGTTCATATGCAGAGCAGTTGATCTCACCTTCAACCAAATGTAAATTTTTTATGCTGATGAACCTGCCTTTTGTTTTATTTGGTGCCTGCAGCTTTCTTTGTTTAATGATGTTTGTACTCGCTGGCTATCAAGTTACAATGCACTTGGCCTTGTTCTGCTCCTGTTTTGCTATTTGACCTTAAACCTAGGCCAAGTACCAATGTTGGTTATTGCAAGGGACTGTTTATTCTTTCAACATGCAACCTTAGGGAACAAGGGAGATTTTCATTTTAAGTTACGTTGTCAAAGTCTGTAGGTGCAGTGTCTAGGGCAGTGAATCCTGTTAAGTTCAAATTTATGATTAGGTGACAAGTTGACATTGAGATTGTCCTTTCCCTGATCAAAAATGAATAAAGGCTTTTTAAACAAAATCCAAACTCTTCAATCAAGTCTTGGTATATATGGCTTTGAAGAAATACACTACATCTAGAGATTATTGTCTGAGGTTTACAAAAAACAATGTGCTTGCTTTTTTACCCCCTCAAGAGGCTTTGGACTCTTATTAAGAATTTAGGCTCTTTAAGTGCCAAATGATGTAAATTTTAAATAAGCCAAGAAAAGTGCTCTAGGCACTTGATTTTGATGAATGAAAGTTATCAAGATACCCTGAAGTATTCATTTAGAACTAATTTGATAAGTTAATTGAAGGGGTGAGGATGGAAATTCTGAAAGCCTATGACAAACATTCAAGTAGCCTGTGTATTTTCTTAAGTATGCTATCTGAATGGTTTTGACCAAGTTCTGTGTGGTGTTTCTCATCCTAATAGAAACTTGATTTCATTAGTTTCAGTTAAATTTATATAATTGGGTATATTAAGAATTAAGATGTGTGTTGGGGTACTAATGTGGATAAGCAGAGCTTTTATTCCATTATCCGATGCATCATTCAAAATGGTGATAGGGACTGGACTTCTTGATAATCTTACACTTTAATAATTTTTTAATATATGAAAACTTCATCACTACCCAATACCAAGATTTGATAAGATGTCAACCACGGGATGCTAAATTTCACTGAATCACTTTTAAGGATGCTGCAGTTGTATAAACTTTTTTATTGCCTTTTCTATGAAGTCATAAAATATGGTCTGTTAGGATTAGATGGGGTTTCGTATTTTTGTCTTGGGTTGGATGTGGAATTGCAACAAATTTTGGTTGAAATGGTAAGAAACCACCTATAACACTTCACTGCTTTTTATAAACTAGGATAGAATATAGTGCTGTCCTGGGGATTATAGGAAAATAAACATTCTGAAGATTTGTGTTTATGTGGCAGTTTGACCCCTGGTTTTATTCTTTTAGGAGTCATTTAAGAGGTGCACCCCTTTGGGTTGCTGTCTGGCTTAGGCAGTGGAGCATGTGTGTTGATCCCAGGGTTGTAAGTTTGAGTGCCATGTTGGGGGTAGAGAAAACTTAAAAATCTTTTTAAAAAGGTGTACCCCCCATTTGGGGGGAGGTATATTGTCAGAGGGTGTTGGGAGTAAGTTGTAGGGTGTTTGTTCTTTTAAGTTTGTTTTGAGAGAGGGGAAGAGAGTCCCACAAACCGTGAGGTCATTACCTGAGCCAAAATCCAGAGTCAGACACTCAACCGATCGAGCCATCCAGGTGCCTGGAGTTGTAGTTTTAAAAAGGATATTCAGTATAATTTCAGATTTACTTAAAACCTAGAAATGTTGAATAACAAAATGGTTAGAGTTTATCAAAGGCCAACACAAATTAGAAATATGTAAGAAAGTGTCTTGCAGGAGTGCTTGGGTGGCTCAGTTGGTTAAGCGTCCTACTCAATTTTCAGTTCAGGACAGGATGTCAGGGTTTGTGAGATAAAGTCCCCTAACAGACTGCACGGACAGTGTGGAGCTGCTTGGGATTCTCTCCCTCTCTCTGCCCCTCCCTGCTCATGTGCTTGCTCGCACGTGCTCTCTCTAAAAAAAAAAAATTTTCCTTATGCTGTTCCAGTGGTTATGTCCTTTCAAGAATCTGACCAAAAATGAATTCTCTTCTGACAGAAAAATGCCTATCCATACATAAATATTTTAAGGGTGGATTCAGAGAAATTCTTTGAAAGCTATCTACTTTAAAAGGCTCTTGCGGGGCGCCTGGGTGGCGCAGTCGGTTAAGCGTCCGACTTCAGCCAGGTCACCATCTCGCGGTCCGTGAGTTCGAGCCCCGCGTCAGGCTCTGGGCTGATGGCTCGGAGCCTGGAGCCTGTTTCCGATTCTGTGTCTCCCTCTCTCTCTGCCCCTCCCCCGTTCGTGCTCTGTCTCTCTCTGTCCCAAAAATAAATAAAAACGTTGAAAAAAAAATTTAAAAAAAAAAAGGCTCTTGCAGTTGGTGGCTTTTATGGTAATTGACTAAAATTTACTGAATTTGCTATCATTGATGAGGTTGCACAAGGGGTGTCTTCAGATGTTCTCTACTTCGGTATTTGTGTCTTGGGTTGTCAACACTTACATAGGGTGATAGTTTTATTAAAAGACAGGAGCTGCCAACCCCACAAAAGGCCCTATGCAAAATTTTGGTTAATCTCCTGATTTTAAAATTGTAGAAGTTAGCTAATTAAAAATACCAACTCACAGGGCACCTGCGTGTCTCAGTTAAGCATCCAACTCATGGTTTCAGCTCAGGTCGTGATATCACAGTTCAAGCCCTGTGCAGACGTCTGGGCTGACAGCACAGAGCCTGCTTGGAATTCTCACTTGCTGTCTCTCTCTCTACCCCTTTGCCACTCATGTGTGCCTGCACTTTCTCTCAAACAATCTTTAAAGAAAACAAAATGCACTACATTTTGGAATCTTAGATTTCTATTCCCTTAAGCATCTCTTGAGTCCTAGATTTTGAACAAGCTTTTGCCACCTATGGGAATGATCTGTTAGCATTTAGATTGGTCAGCAGTCTTTAATACAATTAATTTGTAAGTACTGAGATCTTTTGTAGGAAAATAAGATTTTAGTACAGTTGATTGATTCTTTTTCCTCTGATGACACTGAAGCCTTGATAATCTGTAGCAAACTCCTTATTCTCATGACAGATCTGTCCAATGGGATTGACAGTGATTATTTAGGTTGTCTCTTGAACCATGAGACATTTGGGACATAAGTTTCTCATAGACCATGTAAGTGAAAGGATGAAAGAATGATGTGATAGTGGGGGCTAAGTGGTATTTTAGGATAGTTCCAACATTTTCCATTACCAGGACAAGTCTTTTAAATATATTCTTCCATGGACTATATGTTTTGAATACATGTTATCAAGTATATTGCTCTCATGTGATGATACTTTTTTTTTTTTTTTTTTTTAGAGAGCGAGTGCTCGCACAAGCTGGGGAGAGGGGCAGAGAGAGAGAGAGAGAGAATCCCAAGTAGGCTCTCTGCTGTTGGCAGATCCCGAGACTGCTGCAGGGCTCAATCCCATGAACCTGTGAGATCATGACCTGAGCCAAAATCAAAAGTCCAATGCTTAAACAACTGAGCCAATCAGAATTTCCATAGTGTGATAATCAGCATCATACCACCAAATTTATTGCCAGTCAAAATCAAAGCAATAATATTTTCATTGGCTTGTGCAGATTTTTTAAAATCTGTGATTTCTATCAGACTTTTAAAATACTGAAAATAGGGGCGCCTGGGAGGCTTGGTCGGTTAAGCGTCCGACTTTGGCTCAGGTTATGATCTCACGGTCCGTGAATTTGAGCCCCGCGTCGGGCTCTGTGCTGACAGCTCAGAGCCTGGAGCCTGTTTCAGATTCTGTGGCTCCCTCTCTCTCTGCCCCTCCCCTGTTCGTGCTCTCTCTCTGTCTCAAAAATAAACGTTAAAAAAAATTTTTTTTAAATACTGAAAATAAGTCTAAGAATTTTCATTACTACTTTCTAGGACTGTAGCACTGCACTTAACATATTGGAAATAAGGAAAAGGAAAAGGCATTTTCGAGTATGCATTACTTCATATTCTGGATGAAAAGTGATTTTAAAATACATGCAGTATGGATACAATTCAAGTTCTTTTAAATTATACATTTGAACGACTGCATCAGAAACAAAAAGACTCCCCAATTTTACTTTTGATCTTATTTAAAATACATACTTCTGTGGCACCTGAGTGTCTCTGTTGGTTAAGCGTCCGACTTCGTCTCGGGTCATGATCTCACCATCCGTGAGTTTGAGCCCCACGTCATACTCTGTGCCGACACCTCAGATCCTGGAGCCTGTTTCAGATTCTGTGTCTCCCTCTCTGCCCCTTCTCCACTAGTGGTCTGTCTCTCTCTCAAAAATAAAATAAAAACGCAAAAAAAATTTTAAAATACACTTCTATGTTTTTCATGTATTTATTCTTTAGTTATAATCCATGTAAACATAGGACTTAGAGCCTGTCAAAACCGAGAATAAGTTCACCCTGGCCTAGGTCTTACCTTATTCTTTTAATTAAAAACTATTTTAATTACTATTAGCATGATGTTTTAGAACACGAAGATACAGACATCAACAAAAGGGTTTTTTTGTTCTTGTTCCCCAACCAACACAGTGACATTCAGTCACACCGTATCATATCACTTTCAGTTCTCTGCTGACAGTGGGATTCTTTCCTTTTTTTTAAATCTTCAACCCCAAGAGAGGAGGGTCTTGGTGTTAGTGGCAGGTACAGAGATTTACCAATGACCCATAGCCAAGTTCCACAATACTACTAGACTAGTGTTACTGTTGTTTAAATCTTTCTATTTAAATTCTCCCGGGTATAAATATTTGCCCCTTGATGAAATCATCCCTCTCTTCATTTAGAGACACAGGGGACAAATTTCTCTCCTTTGCCTTTTAATAGAATCAATCATATACTCTTAACCAGGAAATACATAGGCATTAGTCATTAATTACTGTTCTCTTGGCAATTCTGGAAAAGGTATGCAAATCTTTAGTACAATTTAGGAACAGTGGTCACAATTTATTAACTACATTTGCTGCCATGAGAAAAGAAAAAGCATTACATGAAGATGTCAAAGGTTCTTAAAATTATTCCATAAAATGCTCCTAAGATCATATTCTATTTTTTTATTTAGTAGTACATACATTTCCATGCATTAGCACATTCCTCCATATAGGGTAATAATATGTACTCAAGTGTATGTCTATAACTATATTAGAATTATCAGACATAATTTTTTCAAAAAGTATTCCATACTTCTGTTTTCAGCAATTATGGCCTAAGTAATTCAAACCAATCCTATGGAAGACCAGCAGGATGCAAAATATTTTTAAATATCCTTAAAAGAGCTAAAAAGATCATGAATAATTCACCTGGCTAAAATCTAATCTAAGAGAATGTTAAAACCAGGAGAATAAGCCTAGCACTCAAAGTTGGGTTTGATGGCCTTACCAATGGGC